CAGGGCTGCCGGCCTCCTGGTAGGAAGACCTGCAGGTCAGGCCAAGTGATCCAGGCCAACAGGGAGGCAAAATAACCTAAATTCTGAAGGAGGGAGAGAGGGTTCTGGGATTAACCACAGATTGTAGGGTTGACTTGGGGTCTGAAGCCGTAGGTTACTCAGGCCTGGGAAGAGGTCTAAAGTCAGTGGTTTGATCTGTTTTTTGACTTAAACCCCAAAAGTAGGTTCCAGAAAATCCTGGAGATACGAGGGATAAGTTGATGCACAGCTGTCTCCTGAGTTGCATAGACCTCCCAAAGCAGAGACAGTATTGCAGGCCTCGCCTCTACAGTCCCAGGATCTCAGCTCAAGGCTCTTTTTCCCTTTTCCCTCTGATTTTTCCTGAGTGGTCAGAGCTCCCTGCCTTTGGCTCTCTTGTTATGTAGGTTGGCCTCAGAAATGCTCATCCTTGAGAGGGAAGGAGAAAGAAATTGTGTGAGCCAGGATTTTGCCTTTGGCCAGGATCCCAGCCCCTACCCCAGGGTGTATCTCATTGAGCACAGGCTTTCAGGTGTGTTGGGGCCTGGATCTACATTCCGTAATGACTTGGCCTCTTGAGATCACGTGGGACATTTGAGGAGGGGAAAAAATCAATGGACCAGAGGGGAAACTGAGGCCTCGTTGGGGAAAAGAAGCTATTTGAAGTTATGTGGTCAGTTTACTGGTAGAACAGGTCGCCGCTGACTTCCCAGAAAGTCACAGCCAAGAATGTTGGGGGCCAGGGTGAAAAATTAGGAAAGCTTTCTGGAGGTGGGGTGCCTGGCCAGGACATGGGTGATGATAAAAGGAGTTGAGACTGTCCTGAGTGAGGGTAGTGGGGAGCCGTGGTCATGTTTTCATCGGCGAGGGACATGGCTAACTTTGCCTGGCTGGTAAAAGGCTGAAGAGCAGGGCAGAGAGAGAAGTTGGAGGCCACGTTGCTTCAAGTGGTCTTTGGGGGGCCTCTCTTCCCAGTGGAAAACCTCTGGAATGAAATGCTGCCTTGCTTGCCCCTGCCCCACCATGGAACTTCGAGATGGTGCAGGGCAGGAGCTCTCCTGGAGGGTTTTGAGAAGGCCTCTACAGGGCCGTGTGTGAGGGCCCGAGGACCGCAGACTGGGAGTTCCCTCGGGGCTCTAACAGCTCAGAGCCCGGCCAGGCTGGATGGGACCGCGTCGCCAGCCACGCCTCAGTGGTCAGAACGAGTGGTTCTAGTCCCGCTTTGCATCCCTGTTAACGAGCACCTTGCCTTCTCCTAAAACAAACGTAGGGCTAAGATTAGAGGCCCAAAGTAAACCGTCTCTGGTCAGCAGGCATCTGAGAGGGAGGTGTTTCTCTTCTCCACCTTCCCCATCCTAGAGCCTCGGCCTGTTTCATTGTTGACACTCAAGCCATTTCTCTTCCTACATGTGTGGTTTCTTCCACTGGGTTCACCTCACTGGTAAACTCTTGTCACCAGCTTTAAATTTTCTCCTTAGGTCCAGCCAGGTTTCTCTCACTGCCAGCCTGACCCCGCCGAGCTCTGGACAGGGGACAGTGGGACTCTCACAGAACTTGGGCTACGAGCCCACTGTGTTTCTCCCTCACTCCCCCAAGCTGTCATATACCAGAACTACCCACATAGCTTCTCTGAGAAACCCAATTCCTGTCCTTTGGCCCACATGGCTGGGGATTGGGGCTAGCCGGGGGTAGGGAGGCAGGGAACATAGACAGCTCTAGACCTTCGTAGAGTCAGTATCTTCCAGCAGGGTGGGACTGGGAGAAGCAGGAGCTGGACAGAGGGATCCCACACAGCTGGGAAAGCTGACCTAGCTGTTGTGCTGGTCTCCTAGCAACAGCCACCAGCAGCCCCCAGTGACCATAGCAGTGCTGGGCCGGCCCTCCGGGCCCTGACCTCACTGTGTTTGCTGTAGCAACAGCCATCAGCAGCTAACTCCCTTTCCTCCAGGAAGCCAGGCATCTGCATTTCTGCTGGCCTGGTTCAGACACTTTCCTTCCCCAAACTCAGGACTAGGGGAGGGACAGGCAGTCTAGAAAACACTCGCTCGCCAAGTGTGTTCTCAGCACCTCCGTTCCAGAGTGTCTGAGGAGCCATCCCTCCGAGTCTAGCCACTTCCAAGAACAGAGGCCAGCTATTTATGAGCCAGGTCTGCTCCGCCCCCCCTCCCATCCCCAGAAGTTGCAGGGACTAGCCTCTGCCCCCCCCCCCCACCACCTGCCCCTTGGGAAACTTCCAGGCGGTGCTTTATACATGTCCTCGGGGCTCAAGGCAGTCAAAATAGGATCCCTACGGGTCGCCTGGGTGGCTTGGTTGGTTGAGCGTCCGACTTTGGCTCAGGTCATGATCTCACAGTTGTGTAGGTTCGAGCCCCACATCGGGCTCTGTGCTGACAGCTCGTTGCCTAGAGCCTGCTTCAGATTCTGTGTCTCCCTCTCTCTCTGCCCCTTCCCTGCTCATGCTCTGTCACTCTATATATCGAAAATTTTTTAAAAATTAAAAAAAAAAAAAGGATTGCTTCTCACGGGCAAGAACATGGAATGCATTATCCAGAATGGTCTAGGGCCAGAGTCACACTGGCACCTACTTTCTCTGGCCTCTGTGCCAGGAGAAAACCTCATTATTTAGCTAAAGGAGGCCCAAGTTTATCTTGCTCTGTTCAGATGCCACCTTCTGCTTTGCCTTTAGGAATGAGTCCAGGAAGAGCAGGTGGAAAGAGGGATCTTTCCTCTGTAACCTGATGTGGCTCTTAACCATTTGTGGCCCAAGGCCTCTCCTTGGGCCAGTCCCAGGTCCTAGTATGGGTGTCCTCCTCCTCTTCTTTGAAGGGCGGGGCATTTTCCCTGGAGAACAAGGAGGAACATCCTGCCTGGTATGTGTTAGGGCCGGGGGTCTGGTTGGTGTAGAAAACAGCTACACCCATGGCCCAGATCTCCCAGCAGGTGAGCGCTGGCTGACCCACAGCCCGGCTTCCTGTTCCTTGTGTCTTGGGAGAAGATCTCTTGTGACTTTCGTTTTTTTTGTTTCTTTATTTTTTATTTTTTAATTTATTTTTTATTATTTTTTTTATGGTTTATTGTCAAGTTGGTTTCCATGTAACACCCTGTTTTTTGTTTTTTTAATTTAACTTTCCTTGGTCCCTTCCTTTGGGAAGCCTCTCCAGGCTGTCAGTCCTGTTGGCCATATTTTCAGACCCACCCTGTGTGTGTTGACTTGGAACTTTTCCTGTCCCTCCCTGCCACATGCCAGACGTTTTCACATCTGCAAATCCTCAACAGAGCCAGGAGAAGGGTGATATGATCCCTGTCTTTCAGATGAAGAAATTTGAGAGGCAGGCGAATTAAGTGACTTGTCTACAGCCTCGCAAATAGTAGAAGACACAGCTGGGATTTCAACCCCGAGCTTCTTCCCCAAAGCCTGTGGTCTCTGTACCCCATCTCACTGTCCCTGCCCTTCCGATGCGATGTCACTATAGCTTGATCTTCCCCTGGTCTGGGCTGCTTCGCATCCACTTTACAGTTAGAATATCTGTGGCACGCGCTCCCTCCACAATAACAGCCATAACAGCCCTGGCTCCCATTGGTTCAGTGTTGGGTGTGAGCCAGGCCCTGGGCTAATCAAGGGCTTTTACTCACATGAACTCCTATAGTCTTAATAATAGCCGTGTAACATTCATACTGTTTTCCCCTTTTAGGGCTTGAGACTCAGATTCATTAAATACGCAGTACATTGATTTTACAGACAAGTAAGCCGAGTGGAAGTTTTTCACCCAGGGCCGCTCAGGTGTGACCTGACCAAGTCCACCCCACACACACTGCTTTCCCTCTGTCAAGACGCTCCCGCTCTGGAGGCTGCCTCGTAACCCCACTCCAGGAGCTCCTCACGCTTGGACAGTTACTTTGGGGTCCTTTTCCACTCAGTCTTCACCAGCCGGAGGAGGGAGGCTTCTCATCTCTGTTTTACAGATAAAGCAACTGTATAAGGACTGGCCAGAGCAAGTTACTGGGCACACTAGAGCTTTTCCACCCTACCAGGCTGTGTCTTCAAAATACAGTATTTTTGTGTCCATTGGTGCACACCCCTTTACAGACTGTTCCCCTCCATGGCTTCTCCCTTGAGTCCCTGTCGGAGCCATTAGAAGTTGTTTAAATGCAGGTTTTCCTCATTACTCCAGAGCTGTTGAGTGAGTTTGGGTAGGGTGGGTACCCATACAGGTACCTGGCCGCCACCTCCGGAGAATGGGGTTTGGGGAATCCTAAGGGGGAGCTGGGCCTGCTCTCCTTTTGAATAGCATCCAGGTGGTTTGGGTGTGCAGGCTGAATCCCACTGGGTCCCACAGGGCCCCAGTCCCTAAGGGCCTGGCATAGTTGGTTTTCAGTAAATGGGAGCCATGGTTCCCCCCTGCTCTCAGTCAGGTGTTTTCTAGAGCCTCGCTCGGTGCCCAGCACATACTGCGCACCGCCCAGAGGAAGAGGACAGAGTGTTAGCAGCAAAACCACTTGTGGAAAGCACGGGCTGCTGCCTCGTCAGGTTCCCCGGGAAAAAGCCTGTGGATGAGACTGATGCTTCAGAGAAGGACTGAGAGGATGGAACCAGTCCACGCAGCTGTCAAAAGGGCTGGTTAATTATGGCAACCACGGTGTAAATATGATGCAGCCATTAAAGGCGAACACTGGCACAGAAAAACGTTAGAGAAACGTTAAGTGAAAAAAGCCTTTGGGATGCGGCACCTGGGTGGTTCAGTCGGTTAAGTGTCCGACTACAGCCCAGGTCATGACCTCACAGTTTGTGGGTTCGAGCCCTGCGTCAGGCTCTGTGCTGACGGCTCAGAGCCTGGAGCCTGATTTGGATTCTGTGTCTCCCTCTGTCTGCCCCTCCCCTACTTGCACTCTTTCTCTCTCAGAAATAAACATTTAAAAAAAAAAAAAAGCCTTCAGGAGAGTATGTAGCTTGATTCTGCTTGTGAGAAAAGTCACACAGATTTGTGCTCACTTTTGCAGCACACACACTAAAACTGGAATGACACAGAGAAGGTGAGCGTGGCCCCTGCTCAAGGATGACACGCACATTTGTGAACGTTCCATATTTTTTTGTTGTTTTTGAGAGGGTGCGGGGAGAGCAAGCTCAGGGAAGGGGCAAAGAGAGAGGGAGAGAGAATCCCAAGCAGGCTCCATGCTATCAGCCCAACTTGGGGCTCAATCCCGTGAACTGAGATCATTACCTAACCCAAAATCAAGAGTGCAGCACTTAACCTGAGCCACTCAAGCGCCTCACAGTCCAGATTTTAAATGTGAACACTTTTTGATGTGTACCTGTAAGATTTTTCCATCAGGTCTCAAAGTCCTTTAAGAAAGAAAAAAAAAAAACATCTTTCTAAAAATACATAAATTCGGTACAGGCTGTCTCTGGGTTATAGGACTGGCAGTAAGCAGATGAAGGGATTATTCTTACTCCAAACTTTATACCTTGTACTCTGATGGTTTTATCGTGAGCAGGTGTTACTTTTAGAATTGGGGAAGTAGGGGGAGGGAGTATAAAGTGGCATATACCAAGAACAAATAGGAGTTAAAAGCCCAAGTGCAGGTACCCCTTGTCCTGTGACTGTCAACAGCCACTTTCCCAAATCTGATTTCTCAGAATGGGCTCAAGAACCTTAACAACAAAAAAGAGCAGTTTTCTGAGTTGGTTTTTGGTTTTGTTTGTGTTTTTTTGCTTAGAGCTAGTGTCCTTTTCTCAGTTCCTGGCCCACAGGATACCTAATAGGAAAAAACTCAACTCTTAATGTACCATCTCTTGCCTCTGCTGTTTCCTACCCCTAGACAAATGTTTATGGGTCAGCCCAGAGACGAAAAATGAGACCATTTGAAGGCTTCCAGCGCAAAGCCATTGTAATTTGTCCCACTGACGAGGACCTAAAAGATCGGACAATAAAGCGAACCGATGAGGAGGGGAAGGATGTCCCAGATCATGCGGTCCTAGAAATGAAAGGTAGGGGAGGAGCCATTCCCAGAGGGCCAGCACAGCAGGGGCCTCAGGAGAAAAGCGCCTTCCATCATCCTTTCCTCCCCAGCTCCTTGCTTCCTCCTTTTTTGATCTTGTCCATTCTTTCTTTGCTCCCGTTTTGCCCTTCCCTGTCTAGTGCAGCTGTGAATGGAAAAGCTGCCACATCTCTCCCCGGATGGTTTAGACTAGATGGGGCGGGGGCAGAATGAGGGAGTGGACGCGTGGCAGCAAACGCTAAGAGACTTGCACATCACCTGCCTCTGGCACCCACCAGTGGGGTGACTGAGAAAGCTTCAGTCTGCTTCTCTGTAGAAACAAGGGTGGTGATCCCACTTGTCTGGCCCACGCCCTGGGGGGCGGGTGTTTCTATTTGGCAGTGTTTCTATTTGGTGGGGCTTGTGGCCACCTCTTCAGAGAAGGGACAGGAGAGTCTTTGTTAACTCCTGATCGTTGTTAGAGAGGTTGGGACCCTTTCTTACTTCTGTCCCTCATACTCCTGCCTCTGCCATCTCCCTTCTGGCAGGCCAGTGTCCTGGGGGTGTAGGGGACCAGACCTTAGGAGGTACTGACCTTCTTCTCCCCGTTCCCTGTGGGGCCCTGCCTTCCTCCTAGCCAACTTCACGTTACCAGACGTTGGGGACTTCCTGGACGAGGTGCTGTTCATTGAGCTGCAGCGGGAAGAAGCAGACAAGCTGGTGAGGCAATACAATGAGGAAGGTCGCAAGGCTGGGCCACCCCCTGAAAAGCGCTTTGACAACAGAGGTGGTGGTGGCTTCAGGGGCCGCGGGGGCGGTGGCGGTTTCCAGCGCTATGACAACAGAGGCCCACCAGGGGGCAACCGAGGAGGTTTCCAGAACAGAGGAGGAGGCAGCGGTGGAGGAGGCAACTACCGAGGAGGTGAGACATCTCAAGCAGACCTCTCTCCGATCTTGGCTCCTGGGTCAGGATTGGGCTTGATGTTGCTTGTTCGGTCACCAAATGAATTTTCCCTGGCACCAGCTGTGGGCTGAATTCTGGTAGAGAACCAAAGTGATCAAACTCTGGGACCCTAGGGAAATTCCCACTGTCCTGCTTCCCCTGGCCATTGCCCCTGAAGCCTGTGCCTGTTTGTAGGTCACTCCTGTCATTTTTGCAAGTCTTACCTTCCATCTGACTGTGAGCTCCTTAAGAAGAGGGGCCAGACTGAGTTTACTTACCTGGGTTCCAACTCAGGTGCATGGCAGATGTTAGGACTGTTTTTGGTGTTTAGTATTAAAACAAATAGAGAAATGGGCTTAGGTTAATTTGCCCAGGTTTCTCCTAGCTAAATCCAGAGCTTGGATCATGTGGTCCAGTGCCCAAGTTTCCTGTCACTAAGTTCTGCTGTCTCTGAGGTAGAAGTGTGTGATCATGATTTAAGTAGCATAACCAACTGTTTCAGTGTTGTGCTAGATATTTCTGGGGACACAGCCATGACCTGGAGAGACACATCACCCTGTGCGGACAGTAGAGTAGGCTTCTGGGCTGAATGGCAGAACCCAGGGTTACTGTGGGCTTGGGTGACACCTGATCTAGCCTGTGAGGGAGCAAGGCTCAGGAAAGGCCTCCCAAGATAGCGGAGTCTAGGCTGAGGCCCAGAGACCTGTAGAAGTTGACAGGGGAAGGGTTCTGAGCCCAGCCACAGCTGGTCAGGGGCTCAGGAGAGACTGGACCATTTGACCGAGCCTGGAGAGGACTGTCCTTGGTGCTTAGCATCCCTCTTCCTGACCATCTCCTCTGATTTGTTCAAGAGCTGTCAAGATGCCGTGGACACAGTAGAAACCAAACAGCAGCCCAGTGGGCAGGACACACCTGTCAGCAGACAGTGAAGACTGAGTTATCAGGGCTGCACGAGGGACGTGCCCAGGGGTCTGGGGAAACCCAGAGTAGAGCTCAGCTCCTGAGGGTCCCAACTTCAGAATGATAAGACCTCCCACCTGGCTTTTCCAATGCAGGTTTCAACCGCAGCGGAGGTGGCGGCTATAACCAGAGCCGCTGGGGTAACAATAGCCGGGATAACAACAACTCCAACAACCGAGGCAGCTACAACCGGGCTCCCCAGCAGCAGCCGCCGCCGCAGCAGCCACCGCCGCCACAGCCGCCACCGCAGCAGCCGCCGCCACCGCCCAGCTACAGCCCTGCCCGGAACCCCCCAGGGGCCAGCAGCTACAACAAGAATAGCAACATCCCTGGCTCGAGCGCCAATACCAGCACCCCCACTGTCAGCAGCTACAGCCCTCCACAGGTGAGAACGTGTGCACACGTGTCCAGGGAGTGGACGTGGACCCGTGCTCCTGCCGCGGCTCTCCACTCTTCCCTCCAGCCCTGCTCTTCTTCCTGGCAGTGCTTTTGCCTGGGATGGACCCTAGACATTCCTTCCAAACCCAGATCAATCGGGAACTTCCCTGTTCTTCCCCCTCGCCCCACCTCTCAGGGTGGTGTGCTTAGAAGCATTGGCTGCTCCAGCAAGTACATTTTTCTGGACTGTGTCGCTGGCCTCTACTGAATCCCTAAGAAAGCGCTTGCTTGGAGCTACCCTTTGCCTAGGCTGGACAGGACTGACCCCACATCTACAGCATGCAGACACAGGCCCTACAGTCGGGAGGTCTCGCCCTGTGCCGAGAGCTTCTCTCCAGGGCAGCTTGTAGCTCAGGTCCAGCTTTCCGCAAGTTGGTGCTCGGGCTCTGGTATGCACAGGCCGTCACTGGAGCCGTCTGCAGCCACTTTCTGAGTGCCTTCCACATGGCCAGGCTTGGGAACAGCTGCCAAGAGACATTGGTGAATGGCTCCTGGTCCTGGTCTAACCAGAATATTTCCTAGAACAGGAGCTGGGCAGGCACGGGTTCAAACCTCGCCTCTCATCTTAGTTCTGTAACCTTGCACAAATGTTTCACCTCTTTGGGCCTCACATTTTTCATAAAAGAGTAGACTTGTTAGTAGAACTCATTTGCGAGGTTTGTTGTGAAGGATGGATGGCATGATAGCTTTGTGGGAAAGGCTCTGGAACTAGACAGACCAGAGTGTAACTCCCAGCTCCACCACTGTTTACTGTGTGACTTGGACCCAGTTGTTTCGCCTCCCTGAGTTTCAGCTTCCTTCTCAGTAAAATGAGGCTAATGGATCCTGCCTCTCACATTTGATGGGGGGATTAGATGGGTTAATGACAGAGCCTGGACTCGGGAAGCACTTGGGAAACTGCTACTACAGTTGCTCTCAGCCAGCCTTCCCAGAGCAACTGCCACCAATTTGTTGAGTGCCCAGTGGCTTGTCTGCTCAAGCTTACTGAATACACAAGGCAGTCTGAAGGGGAAAAAGCAGTAGAAGTTCAAGAGATGCTGTGTGCCTTGCTCCCCCAGGGTCTTAGACCCTGGGGGAGCAAGGCAGCTGGGAGGGGACTCCAGAACACAGCCTTACATCCTGTCCCACCATGTCACAGAGCTGACCCATTTCCTCAGCCCTCAGACAACCTCCACCAAGGAAGTTCCTTTGCGAGCCCACTGCTTACAGAGGCCCTTCCTCCATCCCAGCCGAGCTATTTCACAGAACTCTGATTTTTGCCCCCCATTTTCCAGCCGAGTTACAGCCAGCCACCATACAACCAGGGAGGTTACAGCCAGGGCTACACAGCCCCTCCACCTCCACCTCCACCACCGCCTGCCTACAACTATGGGAGCTATGGTGGCTACAACCCGGCTCCCTACACCCCACCGCCGCCCCCTACCGCACAGACCTATCCTCAGCCCAGCTATAACCAGTATCAGCAGGTAGGTGCCAGACTCAGGCTATGGGAGTGGGGGGAGGGTGTGTTAAAGAGACTTCCAGGGGTCCCACATGGATATGCATTCCCAGACTGGAGTCCCTATTTATTCCTAAAAAGATGGGCTGGCCTGGGGCTGTCATTTGTCTGATGTAGCCATTCCATTTGGTGGATACTTAATACCTGGTAGCCGAACCTCTCCTCCCAGTGCAGCAAGCAGAAGACAAAGCAAGGGCCTTCAAATCCTGCTTCAGCACCATGGCCAGTGTCCATCCCCCTGGGTTGGTGCTAGGCCATCTTCGCTGTTAGTGTGTTTGAATGTGATTATCTGGCTGTACCTGAAAGGACATGAGGTTGGCAAGCCAGGAGGTCTGGGCTTCAGTCCCTAACTGCCCACCCATGTGGCATCAGGGCAGTCACTTGTCCTCCCAGGGTGCCTCAATTTCTCTTATCAGGGGACCCATCTCTGCCCTGGGTGAGAGTGGGGTGAAGGCAGGAGCCACATGTGGGTCTGGGTAAGGACAACCTGGTACTCTTGGTCTCTCTCCAGTATGCCCAGCAGTGGAACCAGTACTATCAGAACCAGGGCCAGTGGCCACCGTACTACGGGAACTACGACTACGGGAGCTACTCCGGGAACACACAGGGGGGCACAAGCACACAGTAGCCGGTGTGCTCCAGAGGCCCCTGCCGGCTTCCTCCACCAGCGCCCACCTCGGCCCCCTCGTCTGCCCCCACTGGGTCCTGTGGTGCTGGGGGACGGGTCATCCCAGGGCTGCCTCCTTTCAGCCCACTGCCTCCCCTCTGAGGGGTTTCTTCCCCAACACAGGGCCGGGCATTTTTCTCTGAATTCAAACAGGCAACAATGACCTTTTATTTTCTGTTTGTCCCCTTACCTCCTTCTTCCTCCCCTTCTCCTCTCCTTCCTCCTCCCCTCCTCCTTTTTGACTGAAGACACCCCCCCCCCCCTTGGTCAAACAGTGAGGCTGCAGTGGCTGAGGGAGGGCCCCTTCTGCCCACCTGCCCCAGCCCTGCTCCAGCCCCCTCAGCTTCCCACACCTTCATGCAGTTGGTTGTAAATTCTTCCAGGAGCTGTTTTACTGTCTACTTTTCAGGATTAAAAAAAAATCAAAAACTAAAAAAAAAAAAAACAAAAAACCCCCCACAAGTTGTAAAATGCAGAGGGAGGAAGCAGTGACAGATATTTTTTTGGTAATTATGCTTTTTTTTTTTTAATTTTTAGAATTTCTCTGTTTTTACTGTGGCTGTTGATACTTCATCAGGATAACCATTTCTTTGCTGAGTTCAGGTGACGGAGGAAGAGCCACACCCTCAAAACAAAGCAAAACAAAACACACAAAACAAAACCATAGAATCATCTTTAACCTGACTTTTTATACGATGTCTCAGTTTCCCGTAACTTTGCACACAAGCTTCTGTGTTGAGTTGAATTGTAACTGCTTTTTGTATTTGGAGAGAGTGTGACTATTGAATTTGAAACCTTTTATTCCAGGCGTCTTGGTAGTTTCTGGTGGGATTAAGCGGGTGAGAGGGAAGAAGGGGAGGTTGGGGGGCTCCTTCCCTTCAGAACCTGAAATTTCTCCCACTGCCTCCTCTCCAGAGGTCTCCCAGGTGCCAGACCTAAAGGTTTTTCCTACAATGATCCTCTGATTATTTTTACTTCCCCTTGACCCATATGTTTTAACAGGATTTTAACAAACTGCACTTATTAAGAAATGTGTTTGCTTTGTTTTGTTTTCTTTCAATAAATGACATGGCACCTCCTGGCAGGAAGGAAGCAGGGTTGAAACCCTGAAGTGTTACTGCAGTTGGCCTTTAATTGGGGTGGGGCCTTTTCAAGGGGACATTATTTACTCATCTGTTAAACACTCATTGAGGGATTCATGTGTCGTGCCCCGTTTTTGGTGCTGGGAGCACCCCTGTAAATCTGGGGCTCTCCATTTTAAAGTGGTTCTCTGGTCCCCGCCCTTTCTGATCCTCTCACACCACACACAGCCCCACATCTCTCCAGGAATTTGTCAGACGGCATGGCAGGTCCCTGGGCAGAGGGTGAGGTAGGGCTGATGGGACAGAGACCAAGGGTGGACTGTTGGGGGTCATCACTGGGTGTGACTTCCCGTGCACCTCAGCCCTGGCCTTGGGTGCCGCACTTAGGACAGTTCCTGCCCGTGCTCCTGGATCCAGGCCGGTGGGGATTCCAGGAGCTGCTTTGTCCAGCCGCTGGGTTAGGTGCCCGCTCCTTCTGGACAGTGCTGGGCATACAGCGCGGTCACAGCAGTCCTGAGCCCTACTCTCACCGGCCCTCGGTCCAGAGGTAACACGCACCTTCCAAATGGTGACGGCACCAAGTGGTCAGCTGTGAAAGCCTGAGGTGGAGAGTCTGGCGAGGGGACGTCTTCCTGGACCAGGGAACAGTTTTAAAAACAGCCAGGGTAAAAGACTTTCTGATTGCATTTCCGTGGCCTAGTATCCGCCTTTCCCAGCAACTGGAGTCATTCCTTTATCCCCTCTGGACATGTGGCATTCCTGTTCCCTTGTGAGGGACGGTCCTGGGGCCAGTTCAGCCCCATCCCTTTCTTTATAGGAAGTCCCTTAGAGCCTCGTGAAAGGGGACACAGGCTGCAAGAAAAGGGAGGAGGAAGGCTGACTAGCTTCTAGGCCGGGGGTGGGGCATCAGAATGTGAAATGGAGCCAAGACTGGTGGCTAGTTGGGCTAAAAGGGACCTGGAGTACCCTCCCCCCACGTCCCCAATTCTGCCTTCCCGAGAGAGCAGAAGGGGAAGCGCCTTGGCCTCCCATCTGGGAAGGTCCCTTCCTTGCAGGTCCATGTGTGGGGCAACAGCACCCTCTGCTGGCCTCTCTGGGTAATGTCCTAAATGTAGTCCCCACCCCTCCGCTGTGGCAAATGGGCCTCCTGATCCCTCATCCTGGCGATGCAAATGGGAAGTTATTCTGCTCCTGTGCACAGCGTCCTGTGCACAGCGTCAGGGTCATTGCACCGGCCTCCTCACAGATCTCCCTTACGTCTAGTCCTTTACCCTGATGCCCTCCTGCCTGCTACCTGAAGGATAAAGGAGCTCAAGCTGCTTAGTGCGGCTTATGATGCCCCGTGTGCCTGGCCCCTGGTGACCTCTCTGGCTTCATCTTTCGCTGTTCCTCTGAACTTAAGATCGGTGGTTGGTTCTGGGGGAGTTACAAGTCTCAATCCAAATGTCCTGAGGTCCGCTTCGGAAAATGCCCTTGTGTGTGGAATTTTGCATAAATATTCAAGAGGTTCTCAGGTCCTTGCAGCAACCAGAAATATCCATGCCTGCCTTCCCCTCTGGGTCTTTGCCTCGCCCTTCCCAACGTCCGAAACCCTCCTCTTTAATTCCTGCTTATCATTCAGGTCTCAGCTTGAGTGTCCCCTCTTGGAAGGATGCCTTTCCTGACCCTCCGGGCTGGGGTGGGCAACCCATTAAGAGCCCTGGCCACTCAGGGTAGTCACTTGTGTAATGTCTGTCTACTTTGTTGGCAACTCACACTTGAATGAGTCCCTACCCATCACCTCAAGCAGATCAGGACCAAGGCTGTCCCCCCTCCACATCTGCAAATTCTTAAGGTCCTGGGAACACAGTGGGAAATTCCATTTGATCTCACCTCCCATTTCATGCTAGCCAGGGACTGGCTGTGACGCCAGAAGCAAGAGACGAAGCTTAGTAGATATCCTTTGAGGTGCTGAAGAACAAAAAGGGGATGGATTGGAGTCTGAACCAGACTATAAACCCTTAAGAGGCTCTGGAAGGTGGCCATTCAACCATCCACCCCTAAAGCAAGCACAGCCCTCCTGACAGTGCAATTCCGCAGCAGGTCAGATAGCGGTGGGAGGGGGAGGGTGGAAGAGCCTCCCTGACCCCAGCGCCCTCAACCTTCCTGGCTGGGGCCAGGGGCCTGAGGGAGGTACGCATGCGCGAAGGAAGGTACGCCTTCAGCCCGGAACTGTTGTTTCGGGCTCTGCAGAGCACCGGGCCCTTGGAGTGTGCTCAGCCGGAAGTGGCCGCAGAGGACTTGGGACAAGAATTGGTGTGCGGGCCCGCCGCGGCGGTTAACAAGTAGTAGAGAATTAGGATGGAGGCCGTGGCGGCCACGGCGGCGGCGAGGGAACCCGATGAAGGTGAGGTCCTGGCCACGCGGAGGCGGCGGAGGGTGGGGCTGTGGTGTCACTGGGAAATGATTCCCCGTGAGCGCGCAGGAGGACTCTTTATAGGGGGACACCTGCTCTCGGGTTTACCAGTCCTCTTCGCCTCTCAGTCCAGATTAGTCCCTCCCTTGTTGCGAGCTGCCGTGCTTTACCCCATCCTGGGGTAACTTGAAATTAGCCTCTTTCAAGTTCCAGGCCAGCCCTTTACATGTGCCAGGCTGACCCAGTTCCTTCCGAGGCTCTTAGGTCAACAGAAACCTGTCCCCTGTCCCAGCTAAGTCCCAGTGTCCCAGTCAGCCCTGCCTCCGCAAAGACCTCCTTCCCTAAGTCACACTGACCCTTCCCTTGTCCCCAGGCTCACCCTCCTCCTGTCCCTTGCAAAGTCTTGCTTATTTGAGACTTAAACGGCTCCCCCATTTCATTCTCATTTCCCTTCCCCCGACAGTTCCATCTGCCTCCTCACGTCCTTAATCCATTTCTGTGTTGTCCCTACCTCTTTCCTTTATTCTCCTGATCCCTTCCCCTCCATATCGCAAATGCTTTCGTTTGGGGGCGCCTGGGTCGCTGGTTGGTGAAGCCTCCAACTCTTGATTTCAGCTCAGGTTGTGACCTCAGGCTTTGCGAGATCCAGCCCCTCTCCCCGCATGTTGGGCTCTGAGCTGACAATGTGGAGAAGATTCTCTCCCACTGTCTCTGTCCCTCTCACCATCTCTTCTCTTCTCCCTCTCTCTCTCTCTGTCAAAACAAATAAATAAACATTTTTAAAAAATTAAAATGCTTTCTTTTTGCTCATCTTAAAATTTCATCTGGCGGTTTCCAAGACATCCCAAGTGGGGCAGGGAGTGATTGGGAAGTTGGCTGAAGTTCACTGGCCAAGAATTGATAACTGTTGAAGCTGGATGATGGGTATGTGGGGTGGGGGTGGGGATATCCGTTGTATTCTCCACACTTGTGCGTGTTGGACATTTTCCGTAATAAAACATGTTTTAACCTAAAGTCTATCCTTTGATCGCATGTACCTTCCAGATACCATGTATCTTCCCCAAAGAGCCCTCCACAGCCGTCTCCATTTCCTCACCTCCCACCCACTTGCAGTCTGGCTTTCACCTTCAGTCAACGGGGGCACCCCAGTTAGGGCTTTTTTTTTACTGACTCCTTGGAGAATTCAATGCCGTTGACTCCTCCGACACTCTTGAACCTTGTCCCTCGGTTTCTGTGAGACCACTCTTTCCCATTCCCTTCCTTTCTCTCAGGCTTCTGCTCAGCCTCTATCAGTTTCCCATGGCCTCTGCAGCAAACAACCACAAGCTCGGGGGGCTTAAAACAACAGAAATGTATTGTCTCACAGTTTTGAAGGCCAGAGGTCTGAAATCGGTACGACCAGGCAGGAATCAAGGTGTCGGTAGGACCGCGGGGGGGGGGGGGGCTCCCTCGGGGGCTCTTCCAGCTTCTGGTGGCTCCTGGCGTTCCTTGGCTTGTAGCCACATTACTCCAGCTTCTTCGTGCGCCCTCCATCTGTCTTCACCTGGCCCTTCTCTGCATATGGCCAGGTTCCCTCTCGGACTCTGTCTTACGGACACTCGTCATGACACTTAGGCCCCAACCGAAGATAATCTCCCAGTCCCAAGAGCCTTCACTTTATCCCATCTGCGGAGACCTTTTTTTTTTTTTTTTTAATTTTTTAAAATTTATTTCTGAGAGAGAGAGAGAGCATGAGAAGGGGAGGGTCAGAGAGAGAGGGAGACACAGCATCAGAAGCAGGCTCCAGGCTCTGAGCTGTCAGCACAGAGCCCGACGCAGGGCTTGAACCCACAAACCTTGAGATCATGACCTGAGCCAAAGTCAGACGCTCAACCGACTGAGCCCCCCAGGCGCCACAGTTCTGCGCATTTCTTGTGAGCAGTGTCCTAGATGTCTCCCCTCGGGTGTCCCCTTCCTACCTTCCGTGTCCCAAGACCTGCTCCTCGTCCATGCCTCTGTCTCAGGGACAGTTTGACCAGGCCCCACAGCAGAGCCCTGGACCTGAACCAGATGAGTCCCTCACCTCTCACCCTTCAGCCCCGTGGCTTGTCTTCTCAGCCTCCAGAGCATCTTCCTAACCCCCCCCATCCCCTCCTCTGAGGCCCATTTCACCTGTAATCCTCACCCCCTCTTCCCTGTCCCAGCCAAGCTGCCCAAAGGAGTTGCCTCTGTTTTCTGTCTTCTATTTCCTGCTTGCTCAGCCTTGCTCCAGTTCCCACAGCTTTTGAGAAACGGCTCTCGACAAGATTTGCCTAGAGTTCAGCTTTCCTGTTAACCAGTGCCTGGACTGTCTTTGGATGACTGTGTGACTGAGTAGGGGAGAGGGAGGGAGTGAACAAGTTGGTGCATGTGTCAGTGGTTTTGTGAGCAAGTGAAAAGGCAAAGAATTGAGTGAGTCAATACATGTGGTAAAGGACCAAGTAAACACACCAAGCTCACTGGTGCCTCAGGGCCTTTGCACTGGCTGTTCCCTCTCCCCGGAACTCTCTTCCTCCAAAAATGTCATAGCTCAGTGCCTCACCACCTCAGGACTCTACTGAAATGTCCCTTTTTTGGCAAGTTCTTCTCTGTCCAACTTGGAATTGCCGCCTGTCCCACGCCAATCCCAGTCCCTCCGCCTGCCCTCTTTTTCTGCACAGCCCTTGGAACCACCCAACAGACTGTATGTTTGCTCACACATTGCATGTTTTCAGTAATTGTTTCTGTCTGTGTCGTCCACTAAAATGTCACCTTTGTGCTTATGGTGCTATCTCTAGGGCCCAGAACAGTGCCCAGAATATAGTAGGTGCTCAGTAAATGTAAAATGAGTGAGTGACCATCCAGGCCTTTCCGCCCACCTCCCCTCCCCCTCCCCCCACTCCCATCCCAGGACTGACAAATCTCCCCTCTCCCCACAGGCTGCGCAGAGCCCAGTACTGGGCACTGGGGGGAGCTGAGCTGGACACCTGTGCCCCCCAGGCCCCAGGATAAGGTGGAAGCAGCAGAGGGAGCACCAGAGGCCCGGAATGATGCGCCCCCTGGGGTCGAGAACGCGGCGGTGAGCGCCATGCTGCGGGCTGTGGCTGCCAGCCGCCTGCCCGTGTGCAGCCAGCAGCAGGGCGAGCCCGACCTGACTGAGCAGGAGAAGGTGGCCATCCTGGGCCGGCTGTACCGTGAGAAGCCGCTGGTGTTCCTGGAGCGCTTCCGCACGAGCCTCCGCGAGGAGCACCTGACCTGCTTCAGCCACTTGCGCGGTGACCACCGGGCAGACTTCTACTGCGCCGAGGTGGCCCGGCAGGGCAGCGCCCGACCCCGCGCCCTGCGCACCCGCCTGCGTAACCGGCGCTACGCTGCCCTGCGGGAGCTCATCCAAGGTGCGGAGGCAAGTGGGCTGGGCAGGAGGGGAGACTGAGGCAGAGGAAGTAAGAAGCAAGGATGCAAGAGTAGAGACTCGGGCAGAGGTCCTGGGAGATGAGACAGGGACACAGGGAGGTTGACATAGAAACCTGAAGCGATGAGGGAGATCGGTACAGACGGGAAGAGAATGAGACAGGCAGTGAGAAGGGTCAGAATGTAGTAAAGACTCAAGTGCCATTTGAGACCAGTGGGCCGAGGCCATGGTACCTGTCACTGGTAACTGGTTATCCCTCAGAAAGACCCGATCCCCACCTCACACCGTACACAGAGGTGCTCAGGAAACCTAGGGGAGTGTGCCTGTGACCCTGGGGACGCAAAGGCCCGCCTAAACAGGCAGATGGCATGTGGATGGCATGAAGGAACACACCGAGACCTTCCTGACCAGGGTGTAATTACCAGCATCTTTATGACCAAAGACACCAGAACGAGAATTGAAGATGAAAATAAACGAAGCGGAGAGTGAGCGGAGATTCCGGTTAGGGAGGAAAGCGAACTCAGCTCGTAGGCCGCAGAGCGAGGGAAATGGAGGGGCGCAGCGACAGGCAGGGAGGGAAGACGGAGGTGGGAGGGATGAATGGTGACCCGGAGCCCAGGAGAGACGGGTGGGTGGCGGCAGAGAAGCAGAAACGAACCCAGGGAGCGGGGCTGACAGAGCCAGGGAGAGGGAGAGAAACAATATGGTGGGCGATCCCACGAACAGGGAGATGGGGTGAGAGACGCGCACAGCCACAGACCCCAGTGCCGCGGAGGCCGGGAATCCGGGCAGGTACTCGCCCTGGGCTCTGAGGGCCGGGCGGTGGGTTTAACTGTTTTCTGAGGGACAGAGCCACCCCTGCGGGAACAGGCAGCCAGGAGAGACGCCAGGGCCCGGGTTGGGGTGGTGGGGAAGCCGCGGATAGCTGAGGGGCGGCTGCAGAGAGGAGCGCTCTGGGAGAGTGCCCACCGGGGACGCCCACCTCTGGCACTTCCTGCCATGTGCACAGACTGGTACACAGAACCTACATCCGGGCTCCTGCATGCAGGACCCCTGCGTGTGGCATCCAGCACGCCCCCTCCCAGACACACCCCGGGCACCTGCAGGGGGCACGTACACCCGAGTGACTCCACGCACACACCCACGGGCAGGCATGTGTGCACTCTGCCCAGGCATAGTTGTGCACAGGCCCCAGACCACGGGTGCCTCGGGGGCCAGGATGTACACGGCCTGACTGTGCACACACATGCTTGCACACGCGAGGACATGTACAGATACGGGCCTGATTACGCGCACGCTCAGACGCACGTATGAGTACTCCGGCCACGTGACCTCGGGGCTCGCAGACTCTCCTGCGCGTCAGAACGTGCACGCACACGCTCGCACCCGCGCGTCCACGGCTTCCTACAGGCCTGACCGCGGACACACGTGTGCTCGGACAGCTCACCCCGCACCCAGGCCCCGGCCTCATGCACATCCCCCCCGCCCCCCCACTCCGCGCAGGCGGCGAGTACTTCAGTGACGAGCAGATGCGGTTCCGGGCGCCGCTGCTGTACGAGCAGTACATCGGGCAGTACCTAACCCAGGAGGAGCTCCGCGCCCGCGCCCCGGCCCCCCGGCCCCCCGAGCCCGGCGCCGCCTGCCCGCTCTCCGACCTGCTGCTCCAGTCCTGCCAGGAGCGGGAGCTGCAGCAGCGGCTGCTCCGGCAGCAGGAGGAGGAGGACGCCTGCCTGGAGGAGGAGGAGGAGGAGGAGGAGAGCGATGAGGAAGGTGAGGGCCGGTACCGGGTCAGACACCCCTTCCCTGCTTGCCCTGAGCGCCCAGGCTCTCCCAGCCTCTCCAGTATCGCTGCCCTCCTCCCCCGCCCCCCTCCTCAAAGGCACCAAGGAGTCACTCACCTCCAGGCCATTACTCACGCTCTCACGCCGCCATCCCTCTGCCAAGAATGCCTTCCCTTCCCCACCCTTCAGGCAGCAGGTCCTGACCCGGTTCTACAGCCTCCAGAGCGCTGTGCTGCCCTCCTGTGTGCGGTGTGTGCCCCAGGGCAGGACCGGGGCTGTCTTGGTCACCGCTGCGTTCCCAGCACAGAGGAAGCAGCTCTCTCTGGGGATGTGTTCAGCACGTGCCCCAGGCACCCATCCCATCCCCCCACCGTGGGTGTCTGCCCCCACAGACCAGAGCCCCGGCAAAGACACAGAGGCCTGGGTCCCCGACTCAGAAGAGAGGCTCATCCTGCGGGAAGAGTTCACCAGCCGGATGCACCAGCACTTCCTGGACGGCAAGGACGGGGACTTTGACTACAGGTGACTCACGCCCCGCCCCCCAGCCTGGCACCCCGCAGCCCTGGGCCCTGGGCATAAGGGTTTCAGATCAACTGGGGATCAGTGGGGGTGGGAGGGGGTACGTGGGACTAGCTTCGTCCATCTCTGGGCCTCAGATCCGTCACCTAAAGAAGGGACCGGACAGGGCTGACGGTCATCTCAAATGTGATAAGTCGTTGAAATATTTCCATTCGGGTGAGTGGTGGTGGTCCGGAAGGCTGCCAGCGCCCCAAGCTCCCCAGGTGTCCCCTGGGCACCCCAGCTTCTTCCTCAGGCCCCAGACTCCCTGAGGGTGCTGCTTGTTGGTGTCCCCACTGTAACCCCAGGGCGAGACACACAGCCACTGCTTGGGAAGGATTCTGCCATCAGGGAAAAGGACGGCAGAAGAGTGAAGTGTCAGAGTCAAAGATAAACAGCTCTGAGAGCTGAAGCGGTCTTGCCCTGTGGGTGTGACAGCAGACGCCCGGCTTCAGACCGAGCCCAGCTGTCGGGCGCATGATGGCCTGATCCAGCACCCCCCCCACCCAGCTCCGGAGGCAAGCCTGGCTGATGGACTTCTGGCTGGGGTGGAGCCTCCCGGCCCAAGTGCCCACACACCACGGGGCACAGAGGGCCTGGGCCGTGGGGAGCCCTCAGAAAGCTGGGTGCCCATGAGGAAATGGGGCCTGGCTTGAGGAATAGGGAAGAGCGGGGACTGGAGCCCATCCCCCCTGGAGGGCAGCTGCTGGGCAGTAGGGCCATCGGGTCCCCACCTTGTGCTGAGCACCTGCTGCGTCCCAACTGTGGGGATAAAGCAGCGAGCAAAACTGACAAAGGGCTCCCTGCCCTGAAGGGGGACCCACTTTAGTGAGGAAGCATGGAAGTATTTAGCATCTAGTGCTGCAGGGCCCGTGAAGAAAATTAAAATAGGGTCGAGGGGCGGGGGGGAGGTAGTGATGAGGGGGCCAGCGTAGGCTCTCTGAGCAGGTGACATTTTGGCAAGAACTTGCAGGATATGAGGGGGCTAAGCGACATAAGTATCTGGGGTCAGAGTGTTCCTGGCAGGGGGCACAGCAGGTGCAAGGGCCCTGAGGCGGCTTGGAGGAACAGCAAGGCGGTGGGGGTGGCCAGAGCGGTTGGGGGATGGGCCAGGAGCAGGCAGTCTCGTCAGAAGTGGCGGGGCCCCATCAGACAAGGCTTCCTGCACTGAAGTGAGTACGGTGGGCGCCACGGGAGGGCGTGGCGTGAAGCCAGGGGGCCTCTTCCCAAGTTAGGATCACGGGCTCTCAGGGCAGACATTTCTCAGCCCCGCCGACCTTTTGGGCCAGATGATTCTTTGTGCGCATTGTCCTGTGTGCGGCAGGGTGTGGAGTAGCATCCCTGGTGTCCAGTCCCTGGGCACCAGTAGGAGCCCCCCCCCCCAAGGGTGACAACCAGACCGACTGCACTTATCCCCAGATGTCCCCTGAGGGGCGGGAGCTTTCTGGTTGAGAACTGCTCCAGGGGATGAGTCCACCTGTCACCCACATCTTCCAGCTCTTCGAGAGAAATCAGAAGTTTTTACGTAAAATCTGCTTTGAACCCCGAGAGACCCCATGCCCCCTCCCCGGGTTAGCTCCGATTTGTAGCCGCTGGCATGTGGCCTGTGACCTGGGGGCCCTGCTCCTCCAGAGGGTCAGAAGCAGGGAGACTGGGGTGGGAGGGGGCAGAGCCGGCGCTGACAGCCCCCCACCCCCCACCCCGCCGCAGCACCGTGGATGACAACCCCGACTTCGACAACCTGGACATCGTGGCGCGGGATGAGGAGGAGCGGTACTTCGACGAGGAGGAGCCCGAGGAGGCGCCCAGCCCAGAGCTGGATGGGGACTGATGGCCGCGCGCCCACCCTGCCCGTGACTTCCTCCAGGGGACAGCAGGGCAGCCGCCCCACACCCCCGGCCTCGCCGGCCCCGCTGCCGCTGGCCCACCCCCTGCCCCCTCGGTGTGGGGGGCTCCCTACCTTCACCCCCGTCTCCTTCCCCGCCCCTCGTCTCTCACTCGCTTTTTCTCCATCCTTCTCTTTCTACACATCACTCTCTTTCTCCTCTCGGCCCTTCTCTCTCCCCCTTCTGTGTGCCTCGGCCTCTGTCCCCGCGACAGGGCCAGACTGAACGTCCTCCCCTTGATGGAGGCCGGCGGGGCCCTCTGCGGCTGGGGCTGGCGGGCCGGGTCGGGGCGGCGGGGCCCGGGCCTCTGGTGCGCCCTGCCCACACGCCCCCCTCTCTCCCCCTGCGTGCCGCCTGCCTCTGGCCCTCTGCCTCTCAGCGCTCTCTCTCTCTCTCTCTCTCTCTCTCTCTCTCTCTCTCTCTCTCTCTCTCTCTCTCTCTCGCCCCCCCCCCCCGGCCAGGCTGCTGAGGAAGGAGCCTCACTGGGGAGGCTACCAGCTCCCACCTCTCCCCTCAGGACCCAGGCTTGGGAGGGGGCTGTGGGGGCGGCACTGGGGCCATGGGCCTGCGAGCTTGGGTGTGGAGGGAGGGGGCGTGGGGAGGGGGCCTCTCCCCTCTCAGCCCCACCGGCCAGCCCCTCTCTGCCTGGCCTCTGCCCGGCCGCAATTTTCCCTTCCTTCACTTCCTCCGCCTCCTTCTCCCTCTCCTGTTTACACTCCCCACAGACGCACAGGCTGTTATCATGGGTCCTGAGTCATCCCCCACACACAGCCTGCCCCAGCGTCCCTGCCCCCAGCCGGCCGCAGGCCCGCCCCGCAGAGCCCCCCGCCGCCCCTGGCTAATGGGAGCCAGATGGCCTCTTGGTGACTCAGCCACTGGCCTGTGGGAACCCAGGCGTCCTGCCTTCCCATGCCCCCATGCCCGGCTCGTGCTCCGCCAGTAGACACACAGAGAAGGGGCCAGCTGTTGGCGGGGGTCACAGGCCACAGGTCGGAGAGAGGGCCTGGCGACCCCTCACTGCTTGGAGCCAGAATGGGGACACCCTGTCATAGCCAGGCCCGAAGACACTCAAACCACCCCAGGCATGTGGGCCAGAGTAAGGGGGAGACCCCCGAGGCCTCTGGGCACCACAGCTCTTGACCCCTGGGCCTTAGCTCTGCCGTCTGGGTCAGCCAGAAATCCAGTCAGACACAGAAAGTGAGAGCTGGCCTGGAGGCCGAGGGACATTCACACGGAGAGACCGTTAAAGGAGCAACTTCCGGTCACTGAGCAGTTCTGTCCTATCCGAGGCTCGATGGGCCTGATGCCCCAGGGAGTCCTCCAAACAGCCCCATGAACCAGACACTGGGCTCCATTTCACAGGGGAGGGGAGGAGGCCTGAGGGGAGGTGTTACTTGTTCGAGGCTGCACGGCCACTGAAGAAAAACCGGGTCTAGAACCTCACAGGTCCTAGAAACCATTCTAGCACGAATTCGAGGCCACCGGGCGCAGACAGACGCACGGACTCCCTCAGAAAGGCCAAGAAGAGACGGCTGTCGAGGGTGATACCAGCAGCAAATGCTTCGGGGCCCTCCCCACGTGCTCAGCACCATCCTCCACACGGGCCTGGAATCGTCTGGATGGTGTTTTAGGCAGCACCTGGGCCAGAAGCATCACGGCACGGCGGTCCCACCCCTCACGTCCTGCCAGTACGGGTGCCCCGGCTCCCAGGGTAGCCCCCCACCATCGGCCGGCCGGCCACACTCGCCCTCCGAGGGCCCGAGGACGGAAGGTATTGGTCCCTCAGGTACCCGTGCGCGCACCTGTGGTCCTAGAGAACTTTCTATCCCAGGGAGCAGCCCCGAGTGAGGTGTGCGGTTTTCATCAGTCTGTTGTTTGATGGTTAACGCAGTTTGTCATACACTTGGCCGCACACGGATTTGTTACATAATAAAAAGCGATGAGAGACGACAGCAGTTGAGTCAGAATTAGGGTTAGTCAGATGGTGGAGGTGGGAGCTCCTGCAGCTGAGACAGAGGTGGGGCCAGTCAGGAGAGACTGCGGGAGACACACCCCCGGCACGGCCCCCGCAGCTGCGACTGGACCCTGAGGAGCCAGGGGTGACTGTCCCTCCACCCCCCAGGCCTGGGTCCACGCGGGCGGAGAGGCTGAGTCAGGGAGGGAGGGCCCGCTGGGGGAGAGCCCCTCCGTGGGCATCCGGCCCCCGCCCCCGTCTCCCGTCTGTCCTCCTGGCCCTCGGCCGGCTGCCGCCCGCACCCCCGTCTGACCCCTCTGCATGTCCTGCCCTCTCATCCTGTCCCTCCCACCGCCACCCCTCTTCCTCTCTCTCCTCTCCCCTACCTTCTCTTCTGCCACTTCGCCTCAGGCCACCGAATCTCCCATCACTTCTTCCCACCTCCCTTGTCAGCCCTCCACTCTTCCCCCATCAGCCCCACCCCGGGCCTCTGCCACCCCTCCTGCTTCCCCCCTGCTCATCCCTGCCCCGGGTCCCTGAGCCCGTGTGACCATTCCTGTGTCTTCGTCCAGAGTCTCCACCCCCATTTCCCCCTCTCCCTGTGGTCGCTGGCCTGCTGCCTCACCCCGTCCGGCTGGCCCCTCTTCTCTGTCTCCCAGACCCTGGGAAGCCCAGGGGGGAAGTCCAGGTCAGAGGGTCACTGGCGGCCCCTTGGGAGCCCAGGATGAGGGGTCGCCGCTGCACTCTCATCCAGGAAGGGGCAGAGAGGCTGTGGCCTGTCTGGCCAGAAGGAAATGTCTGCCCTGTGGCCTGGTCACCCCCGCCCCCAGGACCTGCCCCGCTGCCACCACCCCCGCCCCCGGGCTGGGGCCGAGTAAACACAGCCGCCGGCAGCCGGGATATTTATACCGAGGTCCGGGCTCGGGTCCAGTGCCCACCACAGCCCCTGCCCTGCCCGCCCGCCACAGCCAGCCCCGAGCCAGCGTGGCACCAGCCGGCAAGGGGACACACCGCAGACGCAGCCTCCACTCAGCACAGAGGCCACTGGGCGTGTCGCTCGGGATGCCGGCGGCTTCCCTGGGGACACACCGTGCCCCCCCCCCCCGCCCTGGAAACACCAGCACAAATGCAGACCTGCAGGACACGCTGCCAGCCCACTGAGACTCAAAAGGCCTGAACCCGCTGCAAAATAGAGACCCACGCGACAGCTCACACACTGAAGCCACCAACCCACGGACCGAATGCAAACACCACCTGCTGCCAGGGCCGATGGCCCCGGGCGGGCCCTGCATGGACACACTCACACAAACACACGCGGAGGACGACAGCAAGCGTGCTGAGGACACACCCCACAGACACGGCGCGCTCCCGGTACTGGCCCTGCACACGCCGATCGCAGACATCGGACACACCCACAACACATGCACCGGAAACACAGCTCCCGGGTGGGCACAAAGCACAACCCCTCCCGGAAACACACACAGAGGCACGGAGAACATGCACATTTCACGTCAGACTTACTGAAGAAGCCACAAATCTACACCCAGCGAACAACGGCAGAGATGGGGAGAGAAAATCCAGACCCGCAGCTTGTCCCAGGCCCCCCGACCCCCTCGTGCACACAGTCTCGCCCAGACTCAGGGTCCCCCCAGAGAGGGCACCGGCGGCCTGTCAACAGAAACACAAAACTCAGAAGCACACAGTAGAAGCGCACTACAGGGAGACACACCGAGGAGACACGTGCTGGGGACACACGCTTTGGCAGTACCTGTCCACACCCAGCACAGTAGGCGGGCACCCCCTGATGCTTAGAAACCCCCATGCTGGACACAAAATCCACAGCACAAAGCTTGTAGACACACACACACACAAAGGGGTTCTGAACACGTTCAAATTTACATTAGAAACACCCGAAAGGCACCCTCGTTCTCATAGTCTCTCCCCCTCCTCTCCCCTCCCCACTCCCTCGGGCTGACCCAGCCCCCAGACCTGTCTGGGGGAGGGGGCAGGAAGGCCTGAGCTGGCCTCCCAGGCCCTGCTTCCTGCCCCGTGGGGCCGGACGGGAAGCTGGGGCTCCAGCCGGAACCCAGGCTCCCCCCACGACTTCCCTCCCCTCCCGGGCTGCCCGCACAGGAGTGGGGGAAGGGAAGGAGGAGCCCGAACCCCGGGTCCTCCCCCTGCGTTGGGCGGGGTGCGGGACTGCCTTGTCCCCGCGGGGTCTGATCCCCCCGCCCCCTTGCGGGGCAGGGGCCTTCCGCAGGCGGTCCAGGAAGGTGCTGAGCCCGCAAGTTTCCCTTCCTGGGCGGCCTCCGCCAGCTCAGCCCCGCGGGCAGGTGGGCGGGGTGTGTCACGAGGGCGTGGCGAGGGCTCCGGCGACCGCGGGAGTGTGCGGCCCGGGTGCGCAGCCAGGACTTGCCCTCGGCCCGGGCACGGGCTGGGCGTGCGAGGGCCACGACCCTGGGGGTGTGTCTGGGTGTGTGGGACTCCGTCTGGGCCCCGGGGTGTGACAGCGTGTCTGGGTCTGACGGGGCCAGCTGCTGTCTGCAGGGACCGGTGGGAGTCCCCGGGCCGAGCATGTGGCGCCGGGAGATGTCAGACTGAGGGGGCAGGACCAGCCTGCCCTCTCTGTGATCGTGACGCGTGTCTCCATGTGTAGTGTGTGTGTCTGGGTGGGACTGTGATGTGTCAGGTTGTGTGCGTATGCACCGTGCCTGTTTCGGAGCGTGTGACCCGGGGAGGATGTTTGTGTTAACTGTCGGTGGGTCCCAGCAGGAGTCACCGGTTCATTTCCTGCCAGGGTTCCGATGCTGGGAGGTGTGTGTCTGCGCAGGCACGGGCCTCTGAGTGTCTCTGGTGTGTGGCAGTCGTGTCCGTGACCCCTCAGAATGTATCTGCCGCTGCGTTTTGCTGCGTCCCAGTGAGGCCCCAAGGCCGGGCTGTGCATCTGGAATGGGGCTGCTGCCGCCAGGTGTCCAGAGTTTTTGTGTATCCACAGTGGCTCCGGAAGGTGAATGGGTTTTGTGAGACCGAGGGACCCGGTCCAGAGTTGTCCCTCTGTTGTGAGTGGGGACGCATGTGTGCAGCAGTGCTGCATTTTCATGGGGTCTGTGTCACTGTGTCCCTTGCAAGTGCCTCCACACGCGAGGCTGGTGAACATGGCAGTATGAGGCCCACGTAGGCAGTCACTGGGCCACGGAGCAGGCAGGGCGGCCCTGGGAAGGGCAGGAGAGAGTCCGGGGGAACTGAAACCTGGGAGGAAGAGGGGCCACTGCGAGGCTGAGAAAGAGGAAGCAGGAGACAATTCACGGGCGAGACTGCAGCAGATGGAGGG